AACATTGTACATGTATCACTAAAAACCTGACAACCTTCATAATCAGCAATTTCTTCTCATACCAGCCACAGTTTTGGTCAATATTTTTCTGACATTTTATATTTACAGGTATATAACATTAATAGATCATATAGAAAAGTCCAGTCACTGCCCCAATGTCTATACAGGAGAATTTTTAATATCTTTCACTGGATTACTCTTTTTTCCCTCCATAACTCTGTACTCAATGTAAGCTCATCAGGAAGGAACATCATTAGCGTTCTCCACTTGTTCACTTCACCAGCGCCCACTCGCGTTTCTTACGGAATTCAGTGTCAAATCAATACAACTCACTTCTTCATTCCTCCAGTAACTGATAAAATCTCTACCACCCTGCTCTGTGTTCTGAATCTGCTGCAGGGATCGTATGTACGCATGCAAGGAGCAAATAAAGGAGAGACAGAGATGGATGAATTCACAGAAGTCAAGACACACTAATTGCAGGATTAGCCTGGACTCAAATCTCAAACTGAATATCACAAGAAATGAGAGAACACTTTCGTGGTGCTGGAGAGGGACAGGTTTTCTTAAACAGGACTCCAAAGTAGGCAAAGTATGTGCCAACAAGAGATTGACTCCAAAACTGAGAATCCCTGGTTAATGAAAGCCCTTTACACAAAGTTTAGACAATTGATAGAATAGCTGAGGATATTTGTAACAACTAAAACTCAGAATGGATAAATATCTAAGAGACATAACTTCTTCCAAGTTACAAGTGATTAAAAATGATTACTATCATCTTAATTAATTTTTAATAATTTAATGTTTGTCATTGTATATTTGTATTTATATTTAATATTAATCAATTACTGTTAATAGTATAGAAAATAAATAATCTTTATTAGCTGGAAACGTTCCTAAGTGTTCTGCATATTGTACATTATTTAATCTTCATAACCCTATGAGGTAGTTGCTGACTTTTCCTGTCTGCAGATGAGGAGCTGAGAAAGAGCGGTAGGAGCACTGACTCCAGGGCTCACAAGCAGGACATGGGGGGCCTGGCAACAGCGCAGGAGCCTGGCTCTGCTGTGCACTGTAGCCTCTGTGAGCCAGCCTCCCCTTTGCTGCACCTAAAGCACACGGAGAAGCTCTTCTCTGAGGGAGACAGACACTTCATGGACACCAGGTATAAACAGAGACCCTCAGCTTCCTCATCATCAGACAGGAGCCCAGAACCTCCTCAAACAATGTGATGCTGTGTGGGAGCCATCAGGTTGGTAAGAACTTTGCTGTCAGATAACACAGGATGGGCAGTGTTTATGGAGAACGTGGATGTGTATTTCCCGGGACCAGCAACCCTGGGATGAGATTCCCGGGGAAATGCTTACTCCCAGCGTGCAGAGCTCCTGAGCTGTCAGTGACAGCCTTGCTGGTGAAGCCAGCCTAGGCAGCAGTACGTGTGTCTGTCACGGTCAGTGGATGAATTAATGCAGTGGCTGTAGCCAGGGGCACCAGGAGCAGCACCAAGGAGCAGCGAACTGGAGGACAGACAGATGGACAGACACGGATTGACAGGAATGCTATGCCATTTATATAAACATAAATATGCATTATTCACAAGCAAATCTCTGTAGTTTTCACAGGTACATAAGACACCAAACATATCAGTCAATTCTCTCATTTGAGGCTGGGAATTTGGGGCCGTGCAAGGAGGAGCTATTTACCTAAAACTACCAAACACACTGCATAGACAGTTGGAATAACAGATTTTCTGCCTAGTATTTTTGGGCCCTTGGACTCAGTAAGCTGAGTCTTTGCTGGGATAGACTTCCCTCACCTGGGCTCCAACACAGAGGACTATAAGGTGTGTGTCATACCTGCAATAGCCAGCAGGGGGAGGTAGAAGTCAGAGTAAGGAACAAGCAAAATACCAGTTTTTAAGCAGAAGCTCATTATTGAAAACAAATGGAAAATCTAATAAGATCACAATTTGCATTCAAAGCAACAACTCAGAGAGGAGAGAAATTAATCCTGAATCAAAAACATCCAAGCAGGTTACATAGGACACAGACTTCGAGAGTCTGATTGACTTGAAGTTCTTGGTGTGCTCTTTCTTAGCTGGACAATCTCAAGTTACTCCACCTTCCTAAGCCCTCATCTCATTTGCAAAATGGAATGAATAATCCCTGCTTTATTATACTTGCAGGGAAGGAATCGATATGTACAATGTTTTACATTCAATAAGGTGTATTTGACATTATTAATGGATCAATGATTACTCTTACGACCTTAAAAAAAATTAGTCTCTCTAAAAGACAAGCAACTATTAATTCACCAGTGCTAGAAGAATCTCTACTACGTTCTGAGGTCCAGCACCATTACCTGAATGACTGCTCTTCAAGAATAGCTTATGCCCCTTGCTTGCTGGCATGTGAGAGATATTCTCGAGTTCTGCAACCTTTCTGAAATTTTCCTCATGACCCCTTACTCTTTAGAGCTTAAAAATCACTCTCTCTTTATATCTGTTGAATTATATATATGGAATGGATGATGTGCCGAGTTTTGGACTTTGTTAGACTTGCATTTTAATCAAGGCTCCATTACTTACGTGACTGTGCACAGATGAAATATTTTAAGATTCCAACCAGCTTCTGTTAAATATGGTTGTTATAACTGTGTTGACATGTTATTTGAGGAAAAAATTGTTATAAGAATCACATCATACTTCAGACTGACTGATAGTATTTATTTACAAAGCAACCAACTTGGTCCAATCCCTGGCCCATGGTGGATGGTGTCCCAGGGTGAGCATTATTATTCCCATTCACAGGGCCTTTCCCAAAGACACACATACTCCAAGTGGCAGGGCTTGGACTGGAGTGGTCATTCTGTCCTTGTCAATGTAATAAATCCTCCCAGAGTTAGGTATCATTCAGACTCTTCCAAGTGTCCCATTTGGCAGCTACGTACTGAGAAGGACCTCTCGCCTCAGTGTACCATTGATCAGATGACATCGTTGGCTGTGCAGAGAGCTGGGCTCCCAGGTTCGGCCCCTGACTGGACCATTCCTGAGGCCAGCAGGTCTGAGAGGCTGGCAGGAACGTGGAGTCGGTCTGAACCCAGCATTCCCTGCAGACCGTGAGCACCTGGCAGCTTCAGAGCCTGTGGCAAAAGCAGGCAGATGGGAAGCTTTGGCTGAGGATTCTGCAGTGGATTTCTCTTATTACCTTTTTTGTTTTAAGAACTCTCTTTCTGTTTTAGTGTAATGACAATTTTATATTTTCTTAATTTTGAAACTGCAAGTCTTCTGCGCCAGCAAGTATTTCCGGGCCTGTAAGACTCTCTTTTCCACTTAACAATTAGCACAGCTGCCCTAGACACCTGCTGAGGGTCTGAATGATGGCCCTGGAATATTCTTTTAGCAGAATATTCTAGTCACCACCTCACCAACTCAGCACAATCTCAAAGCCTGCATTTTGGGACACTTGAGCCTTGAATCTTGGTTATAGTTCATCATAACCAAGAGTTGGAGCTCAGGAACTGGGTCTGGTAGTGGGTGCAAAGGACCCAAACCTCCCTGCCCCAGCCAAGTCCCCTTCCATGCCATCCCCACTGCCTTCTCCCTCCAGGCTGACAGGCTATCATTAGCATAACTAATTGCCATAACTATACCCAGGAGGCCCTGGTATACTTGGAACAACAGAAAAGAAACCTTCATTTCAGTTGGAAGTCAATGATACCTTTACTTCTGGAAACTTCATTTCAGATGCATTCCTCAGCTGACCTTTCCTGAGGCCCTGCCTTTACAATTTCCGAGGATCCTGACACTGGAACTGCAGGCCCCCTGGTCTGCACTGGCCCCTGGCTCAATGCAGGCTTCTTCCTCTGGCCACACACACACACACACACACACACCTGATTTTCCATAACTGTAATATTCTCTATAATTCTACACTATGCGGAACCCAGAAATCATTTGCAACCGGTCCAATTTTGAGGTGAAACACCAATCCCCAATATTTCTTGAGCTTTTTCTATGCATCTGGGACAGGACACATGCTTTGCTCACATTTCCTGTTTACTCTGCATGCAACTTTTTTTTTAAAGATTTTATTTATTTGTCAGAGAGAGAGCACAAGCCGGGGGAGCTGCAGGCAGAGAGAGAAGCTGGCTCCCCGCTGAGCAAGGAGCCTGATGCGGGACTGGATCCCAGGACCCTGAGATCATGACCTGAGCTGAAGGCAAAGGCTTAACCAACTGTGCCACCCCGGCATCCCCTGCACGCGACCTAATTAGGTCCCTCTGATATATAAGGAAAAGGAGAACTAGCTTGCCCAAGACTACACAGCTATCATGTCATGTTAGGGCATTTACATCTTCTGATGAGACCTCTGGGAGAAATGCTCCAGTGCTAGCTCAGAGGGCCTGCTGCCTTTTCAGCAGGGATTTCTGCTCTGTGCCTGTGTGCAGCCTGCACACCCACTGCTCTGTCGGTACCAAGTGGCCCAAATTTGAGGCTTGAGATTTGTCTCCAGCCAGACCTGGCTCACATCCTCATCACCTAATTTGCCTTAAGCATGCTGCCTTGGAAGAGTTACTTAAAATACCAACCAGGCTTTCCCCATTTCTAAATTGAGGGTAGTAGCATTCATCCCACAGGGTGATTTTCAGGATGTGATCAAACAATGAGCAGAAACCAATTAGTGCTGTGCTCAGGTGTAGTTGATGTCCAATCAAGGATTGCTGTTATTGGTGGTGCTCTCCTTGCACTAACATCCGCCATTGTTTCTTAGCCACCTAACCATGGATGTTCCCTCCCCCCCTTGTGGTCAGACCTGTCCCTGCCCTCTGGCCCCTCCCTCCCTTTCTCCTGCCTCTCTCTCACCAGTACCTGCAGGTGCCTCAGGGAAACAGAGGCTCAGATCCTAACTGCCCTCTGCCACCACCCAGGTGGTCTCCTCCCAGCAGGTGCATCCAGGAGGTCACCCTGGGTTTCTTTCCACCAGGTGGGAAGCAGAATCATGCTGGGTCCCCTCGTCCTCCTGTGCTCTCTCCTGTTTCCCAGTAAGTCCTGACTTGCTCCCCCGTGCGGGGGTACCAGGGACACCCCGAGGCTCCTGGCCATCCCTGTCTCATCACTGTCCCCTTCTCCCTCTCTCAGGCGGTGGAGCAGGGCTCAAGCTGGATCAGCCTGCTTTGGTAGTGGAGCGCTTGGGCAGTTCACCCTCCCTGCATTGCCAAGCTGACACCTCGGTCAGCTACATCCACTGGTACCTCCACCAGGAGGGTAGTGCCCCCAAGAGGCTCCTCTACCTAGACATGTCCAGATCCTATGTGCAGAGGGATTTTGTCCTGAATGCGAACAAAGTAAGTGCCAAGAAGGGCAGGGAGAGCAACAGCTGTACTCTGTCGGTGCTGAAGCTGGAGAAGAGCGACGAGGGCGTGTACTATTGCGCTGCCTGGGAAGCGCACAGCCCTGTGCTCTCACCAGGTCCCTGAGCAAAAAGGTCTCTGTCTCCCAGGGCGCTCCATGCCCTGCACCTTCCACCGGCTCTGGGTCCCTGGGGTTGCCCTGGGGTCAGCCCTCAGCACCCCGGACTCTAGCTAACGCCCCCTCCGCGGGTCCACTGCACAGAACCCTGCAGGCTAAGGAGCCTCTGGCGCAGACCCAGGGTGCTGTCCAGTCTGGAGGGACTTTTCTTTTTCTTTCTTTCTTTCTTTTTTTTTCTGAGAGCAAAGATATTTAGTATTTATTATTACTGCCTTTGGAAGATACACTGACTTTCAAAAACATATGTAAATCACCCATAGTAACCAGTAATAAATTTGAGTAATAGTCAAAAATTTATCACTTGTGGTTGAATCTCCACAAAGCTACTATTTTTGTTTGTTTAATGGACAACTTTTCAGAGAATTCCTAGGTTTACAGAAAAATTACACAGAAAGTACATAGAGTTCCAACAATTCCTCATATAGTTGGAATCATACAGGCTGCATCCATTTTAGACTGGCTTCTTTCAATTAGCAATATGATTTTAAGGTTCCTCCATGTCTTTTCATGGATTGATAGCTCATTTCTTCTTATTGCTGAATAATATTTAATGGTATGGATGTGCCACAGTTTATTTATCTGGTCACTTATTGAAGACATCTTGGCTGCTGCCAACTTCTGCTGATTATTAATAAAGCTGCTATAAACATTCATGTGCACATTTTTGTATGGACATAAGTTTTTTTAAAACAATTTTTATTTAAATTCAATTAATTTAACGTATAAGGAGGTATTATTGGTTTCAGAGGTAGAGGTCAGTGATTCATCAGTCTTATATAATACCCAGTGCTCATTACATCACATGCCCTCCTTAATGTCCATCAACCAGTTACCCCATCGTTCCACCCCCTCCACTACAGCAACCCTCAGTTTGTTTCCTGAGATTAAGAGTCTCTTATGGTTTGTCTCCCTCTCTGATTTCATCTTGTTTTATTTTTCCCTCACTTGCCCTATGATACTGTTTTGTTTCTTAAATGCCACATATGAATGAGATCATATGATAATTGTCTTTCTCTGATTGACTTATTTCGCTTAGCATAATACCCTCTAGTTCCATCCACGTCTTTG